GTTTTTTAAATTTTATTTAATATTTATATATTTGACTACTATTATTGTTCTTAGTAATTTGCTGTTTTTATTTATAAAATAAAATATTTTATTTTTTTAAACTATTTTAATTATTTTTTTTAGCAAAATAATTTTCTAGATATTTATCATTTTCAGAAATATAATCTATTGTTGTATCAAAACTTTTTTCATTTAAAGTATCAACTTCATTTTCAAGATATTTTAAATTATTATTTTAAATTATATTAGATTATTATTTATACTATTATTAATTATTAGTAAAATTATATACTTATCATTATTATAATAATTATCCAAATAATTATCTGTATAATTATTTAGATTATTATTTAATTTATTACTTAATTCCTTTAGCTTATCATTTAATTTATCATTTAATTCATCATCTAATTTATTATTTAATTCATCATTATATCTATTTTCTAATGCATTATCAAATTCATCATCTAATTCACTATCAAACTCATAATTTAATTTATTATTTAATTCATAATCAAATTTATTATCTAATTCATTATCAAAACTATCACTAAATTTATTATAAGAATTATCATTAAATTCATTATTTAAATTATTCTCTAAATCATTATTTTTTTCATTATTTAATTCAAGTATATCAGATATATTTTTATCTTGAATATTATTATTTTTATAAATTTTTTGAGTAATATGTGATAATTGCAATTTATAATTGCTATATATATATACTAATTTAAAAACTCTTGATTTAATTAATCTTTGTCTTTTTTTATTATAAATAAATGAAAAATTTGACCAATTTCTTTCTGCAATAGCTGAAGAAATTGGAATAAATAATAATTTGCATACTAATTTAGTTAATTCAGGAGCAGATTCTTGAAAATTACCTTTTTATCATATTATTGGATCAATTTAATCTATTGATTTCCATGCTAATTAATTATTAAAAGACTTATTTTTAGTTTTATATTGAATAATTTATTGTCAAACAAGTAAAGAATCATGTATACAATATTTTAATAATAAAGTTTAAAAAATAGTCATATAATTATTCAGTAATTTATTTCTAGCAATTTTAGGATTAAGAAAATTTGCAATTTTTATAACAGGATAATACAATTTGGTCCAGCTATTTTTTAATATATTTTTGATATTATCTATAGTTATTAATATAATTAATAATTTAATTAGTTAATCAATAATTAATAATAAACTTTAATTAGATTTATTAAATTATAATTATTAAATAATATTTAATATTATTAAAATTAAAA